TCTTCCTTCCCTTATCAGAAATGGATCAAGATCAATAATTTAGTTTTTTATATTCTTTAGATCTTTTTACATAAATTGAAATCATTTGGCATCCAGCTGTGATGTCATATATTTTTTCACAGAATGTGTTTTATAACCATCCTTGAATCTGAAATTTTAAATTTCGGAATTTAATTCCATTTCGTCAATTAATATTATCATTACACTTCGTCTATTTACCAATTAATTATCTTACGGAAAGATTGCAGGAAAAAGCAAATACTATGATAATGTTAGCAGCGATTCACCCTTATAGCAACAACGGCAGTAGCCGTAACACTTCAGACGCTGATAAAGATGTCATGAAAATCACCGACGTTACTGATCAGGTTTCCATAGTTTTTCACAACTTCTTCCGGATTCTTCTGTAAACTCCAACCATTCAGATTTGGCTGCACACCGATCTTATTGATTTATACCTATCTTTTCAGTTTAGTTTTCAGATCAGGCAGTAACTCATTTTATTATAATGGAACACTTTTAAGCGCTCTTGACTTGAAATCCGTTGGACATTTATTGCATCAAATGTTTAGTAATTCCACTTAGACATCAAGATGGAATAGAGAAGTGGGACGATTTAATTGATAAAACGTGAAGTAAATTGAAAAAAGCTTATTGTAGTATTTGGAAGAGAAAAATGATGAACTTCAAGAAGGTAGCCTGGTTGAATATTGTCGCATAGATCATCATGAGAATGCGAAGTGTCAGCCCGAAATATGCTTGGCCGACAAAATTGTCAAGATTACTCTTTTAGAACACGAGGAGTTCGTCAAGACGGTATGCTGATTAAATTATTACTGATCGATCAGAACAAACAAGTCACTTGTTTTCAAACTCAAAAAAAAAGTATGAACCTCCGTGCAAAGTTGGTGATTTCAGTTGGATTGTAATCAAATACAGTTTTTGGCTTACTTTTACTGATGCAGTAAAGTTGACCTTAAAAGGTTGTAACTTCTTTTGTCATTCTGAGGAAATTCCCACAGTGTTCACTAAACATTACCTGTAGAAATTCTTAAATAAATTTATAAAGAATGTACAGAGCGCTATTAATTGATATTATTATGGCGCAATTTGCAAATAGCGAATTAATTCAAAGTTTTTATTTCTAAGAGATACCTTTAATTCAAAAAAGAAATGACTTGAATTTGATTATGGATGAGATGAAGAGTGATTGTAGTTAGAGATAGTTAATCGTTATTTTGGAACATTCTCCTGTGCAGTATTACTTTTTGATATCCCAATGTTGACGACAATTCGGGTAAGACGTGTCGCGGGAAAAATGAATAAACTATCTTTTGATTAAAGTAAAAACGAAATTGCTTTGCTACTGGAAGAATAATTTGTCATTTAAATAGTTGTTTATTTTTCTTTTGAGATTCGAACTTTTCCAAAATAACATTTTACAAATGGGTAACTCATAGCTTAAAATCCGACTCGTCTTCTCTTTTTCTACACATCCATTCTAACCGAACATGTGTCTTGACGTAGAGACAAAACTAATTACTTATCATCAGCGAATCAAAAATTTGATTCGAAATTCTTGTCATTGATTTATTGAGATATCCAGCTTGCATAGTTGATGCGTAAATCCTGACTCAGCAGCTAATCCTTATCGGCTCCAATAGAACTGCCAGTAGGACTTGGCATGCCATTATTTATTTGACCCATCATCAATATATTAAATGTTTTGGCTGTTTGTTCAAAGCATACCAATACAGTACGACAAATCTTTAACTTAAAGATTATTACTTTCTTACGTCTGATTCAAATCGTCAAGATGATCAGACTGCTCAATATTTTATCACAAAGTGCAAGAATGATAATTATTTGATTGCATGCCTGCGCTGTTAGCTTCATGCTTACCATTGCTTTATCGTATTTTATTTTCATTTCGCAAAAATTTCAACCTGTTGAACAGAAATTTTCCTTTATATGCTTGCGTTTCTGAATTCCGTTTCTTTTCCGGACTATCACAATGCAAAAGTATCGAGAATGCCATTTCTTAACAGACGAAGGGATATTTTTCACTTGAAGGCATTATATTTTGATGTCATCGAAGGGACACAATGACAATCAATCTGACATGAATGAATGTTATAATAACGACATTCTGAAACTATAACTTCTCATTTAATACACTTACTTAATTCTCTCCCAGTTCTTCTACTATTTATTTCCAAGTGTTGCATTGAAATGCTCCAATTATTATTCTTCTGGTTTCAAATATTCTTGTCATCCAGGAATTACTTCTATAATTGATAAGGGAATGAGGTTTGCAGAAATGTTTGAGGTGATGTAATGCTGTTTATAGTGAAACATTTACTTCCCTTCTCTTGCTTTCTAATCTTAATCACTACAATGGCTGGAATTTTACTCCAGTTAAAAGCAAAAGTAAAATTCAGACAGAAGATAAAGTGAGGATAATTGGAACCGGGGGAACAATAATTGCAGCATTTCAATGCAACACTAATTAAACCTCGGAAACAAATAGTAAAAGAATTGGGAGAAAGTTGAGTAAGTGTCTTAAATGAGAAGTTATAGCATCAGAAAGAAGAAATCAGAATGTCGCTATTATAGCATTTATTTATGTCAGATTTATTGTCAATGTGTCCTTTGTCTTTAATGTTTGGCATAAGTCATAAGTGTTTTTGGCTTTAACCGCTGCAGTCCTTTTTCCTTTACTTTAGCATGAAATTATTACTATTATTTTTTTTTTTGCTTTGTTTTATGGACAGATTTCATGTCATCAAATCCCATATATCATCATTACTTGCCTCATTTATTTTTAAATCTAGAAAAATTACTCGATGATAGCAGCAATTTTTAGTTCACATATCATTTGATATTTGAAGAAGTTGAAATCTCTCGATGACCACAAGATGACCATATGTAAGCCACAATCAAATGGTATCGCTTGATATAAAATCAGTGTGACAGTTTTTTATTCTTTTTTTTTCTAAAAGCAGACCCTGTCACTTTTATTATCAATATGCGATAGATGCTGATATCTGAAATAGAAATGCACATTTCTGATGCCTTTATTAATAGATCATAAAGAGCTTAAGTTAGGCTACTTTGTTCTAGGCTCCCTATAACTCCAATTTAGGCTCTTTATAGCTCTCTTTTATCCTATACGATTTTAACCCTTGTATAATCAAAAAAATTCTTCTCTCTCTCAAACTGATCGTTGGTTTTTTTTTTTTTTTTGCTCTCTTAACAACTTTTAGATAAAAAGCGATTATAATAAATTTTGCATCTTTCTGAACCCTTAATTTTCAAAATTTTTGAATGGAAATTCTTTGACAAATTTTGGGAAATAAGCCATACATTCGAGACAAAGACCATAGAAACGGAAGTTTTCGCGAATGTTCATGTTCAACATTAAAGTTTCCTGCAAATGCTTTTGAAAATGATTTCATTTTCTCTTCCATCGTACTCCTTGGGGTTTCAATTAAATTAAATGAAATTGGAAAAATGCTTTGTGAAGAATATGTTAATAGGATATACATGTACTTCAATAGTTTTACGTCCAATTAATCAAATTTTTTTTTATTGTGAATTAAGAAGGAGTGATGAAGAAGTTGATCTTACCTATCAGTTGATGAGAAAAGTTGGACTAAGAGAGGATAAATTAATTCTTGTTAAAACATCTTTGTTGGGAAATTCAATTTCAAAGTATCAGATAAATTGTTTCTCGTTGGTGAAAGGAATTTAATTCTACCATATTTCTTCGCTTTTTGCAGCTGAAATTTATTTATTCCTTTTCTAGTAGTCATTTTTAAAGATGTAAATTTCTAAAAAAAAAGTAGTCGAAATTTGACTTTCAAATTTAAATGTTCAGCAGTCCAATATAATGAAGTATCTTCTTTTAAAAAACTTTGGTTAGATGGTCAGATCAATTCTCTCGCTTCACCTCTGATTTGAAATACATGGATTGTTAAGATAATCTTAATATGAAAGAGCTTAGTTTACTCTGTAATTGACTAGATGAATTTATTTTTTAGCATGATAATTAAGGAGAAAAGAACAAATACACAATTTAAAAAAAAAAACAAACCAAGAGTTAGGCAAGTTATGCGCATTGATATGAGAGATAAAAATCCATTTTTCTCTTTAGCTTACAATTTTGCAGATTACTTTTGCAATTTGCAAATTCTTTTTTTGAGAAAGTAATTGCATTTAAGCTATTTGTTTATCAAGAAAGATGATAATGAGTGGTCAGAGAAAGAAGCATTCCCAAAAAAAATGCATGTAAGAAGAGTGAAACTTAGATATGTTCTTAAACACACAGTCCTAAAGAATCAATTCATCTGTCTTCTCACAGGTGGACAGACAGGACAAGTAGAACAAATGTTTGGTGAATTATCTGTCGCGTAACTTCACCATATGTGCTATGCTGTGGTTGCCACCATTATTACCGTTTTTGTGTCATTACTCGTAAAAATGCTAACACTTTCTCTTCATCCTAAAATCAAGGATATTACCATTATTATCATTCCTTAGGTCTGAGGGAAAAGCCATTCAGATTTAGCGTGGAAGAAAAGAAACAAAAAGAGCTGACAAATTCATTTGAAGTATCCTTTTGATATTTGAAATGCTGATGAACATTGTGATAAACAGCACTGAAGTTATGAGACAACAATGACACGTCTGTGTGGACTGATTAACTAACTGGGAAAAAGAAGGAGAAGGATTGAATGAACACTGCAAAAGAATTGTGGTTGAAAAAATGGAGATCAACGGAATGATATTAAAGCAGAAAATAAAAGGTGCGGACTGACTGAATGACATGATAAAGACAACTTCCGCATGATGGGAAATGCGACTTGTTGCCTGCATGCACGTTGAGATATTTGAATATCCTTCGTGCTCTTCAGCCGTATTCCTGTTTCTCTCTGATTAGATCCTTCTTCCTCTAAATTCTGCAGATTTTGAATTGCTAATAACTAATATTTTTGCAGGACGTGTCGTCGGAACATTACAGCACGATGCTAAAAGATAATGCCTCCGATGAGGATGTCGATTTGGGAAGGCCTTGTCTATCGCTGAACTGCAAATGCAACGGTTTCAAGCCACATCCTTGGAGGTCAGTTGTTTATTTCTGCTATTTCTTTTTCGAATAACTAACAATCGTCCAATCCAATTTTTTAGCCATACATCGGCTGCTGTTCTGTTCGAGTGTTAACTTCCTGAAGGATCAGATGAATCTTTAGCTTCACATTATATCCTCTTTTAACTCATAGTTGGTGCCAGCACGCTTTACCTGATTGCTTTAATTCAGCTTTTAAACATGGAATTAGCAATATCAAACCTTTTTTCTTGCTTTTTATCAGTCGAGAATCATTCCATCGTTTAGCTTCTTGCATTTTATGAATCGAAAATAGGTACACCAAATTAGTTTCGTAAAAATTATGATGTTTCTTAGTGTTATAAACTGTATAATATTCGTAGTTTAAATATATCCTAAATCTTTTCCCATTTATCAAAATCATTATTTTATCGGCTCTGCTTAGTTGTTTTTGAAATTTCTATAAAATGAATTGGTACTCCCAATTTAACGAGGAGGATTAACAGCATTTGAAATGCATATTTTCAAATGTGAGATACTGGTAAAACGATCGAAACCTGTGGTCATCGCATGTAAATGAAAATAGATGAATATGTTAATCAACTGATTAGTTACTAGGTTTGGTTTGAGCCAGGAAGAAGGGTGTGTAACTACTCAAAATCAATGCCTCTATTCGTACTTGAGAGCAAGAGCCAAGCCAATCAAAGTTCCTGGAACGCTAATTTTACACTCTTTCCGTTTTCCCAATATCTGTTGGCATAGACACATTATCAAAATATGTCTGAAAGAAAACACTGTAAGACCGAAAGATGAGCTTAATGTAAACAAACTTTTAAAATTCTTTTATCATTATGCTTTCAGATTATAGTACGATTCTTATTGCTTTGGATATTTTTGTGAAGTTCTTGGTGATTTCTTATGGCGTTTCGACATTCGTAAATCTTGGCTCAAAAAAGATCTAGCTGAGAACTTAACATTTTATTGTAGAGCTACTTAGTGGGATAGCTTGTACTTTTAAATAGTTCAAGTTAAAGTTAAATTAATTTTTACAAAATAAATTTTGTGAAAATCGATTTAACCTTAATTCTTTAAAAGCTGCGCTGATTGCATAGAGTACGGAAAAAATCTACTTTGTTAGAACTGGAAGAAGGACCAGTAGTGATTACTTTTAACCATACTTTCGTTACTTTTTAAAACTTACCGTTCTAAAGTTATGGTGATAATTTAAAATTAATCTTTTCAATAAGTAAACAAAGCGAACATATTTTGTTTGCAATATAATGATTCTTTTCTAGTCTGTTCCTTTGCAGTTAATATAATAAGTATTGAATAGTTTACACTTAATCGCTTCACATACAAATTTAAGATTAGTTTATGCAAAAGCATTCGCTAATACTTTAAATCCTTAAAGCCTTCTACTCAAAGGAGTGATTAAAGATTGCCAGACACTTCCTTCCTCTCAAATGTTCAAATTTTAAAATTTGAAATCTTTTTGCAAATATGATACAAATGATATAACATTTCTGGTATCGGAAAAAAAAAATGTTTCATACAAAGCAATTGACGTACTTCCTTCCTCTTTTAATTTAAATTAGTGCTCTCTGTCGGGTGGATAATTACGACATGTTTTCCAACTGTGTTATGATTTCAAACAAATATGACCCCGCCTTGACCTTCTCATATGCTCGCTGTTGTTGTGCTATGGAGAGTTTTTAGATCTTTTGGGTTTGAGTAAAGGAAATAAATCATTAGTACAATTTCGCTTCCATCAAATCCCTCTTAGTTATTCGCTCGCGTATTTCCTACCAATTGCTGGCATTAATTAAATAAGGGAGTTTTTTTTTTTGAAAAAAAAACTGATGGACATTTGGAAGTTGGATTGAAGCGAAAAAAAAAGCATCACAATTTATGGAATCGTTAGTATGAGCCGGATTCCAGATTCTTCATATTTACTTTTTCTTTATAAGTTATTCAAAAATTGTACTATTTAATTTTCAATGTATCGAATAAAATCGGATACTGAAAAGAAGCTCTGTTTCTGCCGATGTTTTTAGTAGTAGAAAAAAGCGATTTAAAATGTAGAAGAGAGAAGAGAAAATGGCATTATGCTGATAATATTGAGATCATTTTAAATTAAATTAAAATTGGGATCTGAAAAAATTTCATCTCTAAACTCTTAATGATTCTTTTTGTTTTAAGGAATGAATGTCCACCTCGTCATTAGCTCAGTATTGGGGATTGATTCAATCTTCAAATGACACAAGATAGTCAGTTGACAATTTTACGAAAGGATTACGAAAGTCGAAGAGATGTTAGATCAAGGGGAGAGGAGAGCCTAGAAATTAGCATACTTTTTGCTAACGCGACAATTGATTTAGCAATTGATTTAACGCTTTGTTGCACACATATTGTTGGCTTCCTATCAGTCCAAACATTCTTAGACTCCTTTCCTTTCATGTCCTCAGAAGCTCAATCTTGACAAAGGAAAATACACTCATAAATAGACATGCATACTACTGCTATAATAATATGATATACATGCAAAATGATGTGCGCATGCACAAGTGAGATTTAATTTATGGAATGAATTTCCGAAATTTGGAAGGAATATTGCTCTCTTTTTTTCTACTCATAAGCATCTAATCCATTTTTGGAAGTCTTGATGTGACATAAATTTTTTAGGAACATTCTAGTCACTTCTTACTGAATTGATGGCATTCAGAATCCATTTGGTTCCAATTCATCACCAACAAGTCCTGATTCCTATCATTGATACTACGAACTCGGTTATTTCGTTGCTTTTGAACTGCTCTGGAGCTTTTTAAACTGTGAGTTAGGAATTCGGACTCTTTGGAATTCAGATATTCTGACTTCCGGACTAAATTTATCTTAGCTCTGAATTGTCATAGGTGCACTCAATCATTTCAAAGAAATACCTGATCGAACTTACTGCATAAGCTTTAAAACTGAACATTGTTTTGACCTATCTAAAATATCTTCATCAGCTGCGTCTTCCGGCGCTAATTGAATGTGGAATGGTCACAGCAACAACATCTGGCCAATATGTTTTCTTGAAATTTTGATTGTTGTAGCAAGCAGCAGCAGCAGCAGCGGCAGCACTCGAAACAGCACTTACGAAACATATTGCAACATTTCCATTTGCCATCCGATATCAACGCTTGAAGATTGCTTCAGCTATCCAGATGTTCTGTTTCTCAGTTCTTCTACTTATCTTCTTCCTTGCATTATAATCTAATCATCGTCTTCTACGATTCATTCGTAATCAGTGCTATTCACGAACTTCCCGCCGATGTTTTCCGACATTGCTGTGTATGTTTGCTTTGTCCTTTTTCATCATCAATCTTAAGGAAATCTTTTATGCATTCTCATCCCTTTCAAAAACATTCACAAGATTTTGGAATAAGTAATTCTTATTCTTGGAATAACTTTTTGTTTTTTCTGAAATTACAATTAATACTTTTTCAAACATTAATACTTCACCTCAAAACTGTACTTTGAAGCATTTTTAAATTCTCAGCTCAGTTCAAATCTTTAGCTTTTTCGTTGATTAAAACTGATATTGGCTTGGGCATAAATTCAAATGGCAAAGCGAAATTTCGGATTGGTTGAAAGTTTCTGGAAAAAGTGTTGAATGAAATGAAAAGAAATGACGGAAAATAATAAATTTTAATAGCCACACTGATAGCAATGGTTGATTATTCGTGACCTACTATAACAGGTGGGGCGATGATCGGACATTCCAAAGATTTCAGCGCACTTTGTTTGTGTCATCTATATAATTGGTCTTCATCTGCACTAATAATATGTTCAAACTGATTTGAAGTTTAGTACTACCGAGATGCCCACATTTACATTCATTCTTGTTCTTACTGAAGTTTATTTACTTTTTTTTTCTTTTCTTCTTTATCGGCAACTTTCAAGAAAATTAGAATGTTTTTCAATTTAACGATTTTGAATAAATTCTAAGAATTTTCCAACTTCTGAGTTTTAAACTTTAATCTGATTAATGTTGAGTTTGTCTCTTCTTTTTTAAAAAGTAACACGAGCTATCTGCTTCATCGAGACCATTTGTGGTGGATTTAATCTTTCAACTTGTCACTCTAAGATCTGCCGATTCCAGCCCATTGCAAAAGGGTTAAACAATCGTTATGTCCAAAATTTTCTCCATTTGGTTAAGATTTCTTGCATTTAAATTTACTAATTTATTTTCTTGTTTGATTAAAATTCAATGTTGAAAATTCGAATTCAATAAAATTTTTCTTGACACTTATTTTGTATAATTTTCCGGGAATGCAGGATGAAATTCAGATTTACAGTGGTTTGTTTCTTGGATTTGCAAATAATTGAAACCTTTTTGGATGATATAACACTGATTCGGAAGTTTACATCGATTTTCAGACAAACAGATTATATTGAAAAACACATAATTTAAAAAATTTAACTATTATATCATGTCCTATTTCAAATTTTCTGAAGCAAGAAAGTAAGGCTTAAACTTAATGTAGAACTTATGCCGACTTTTACATACAAATCTGTTCAAGTTCAAATATGCTTTCCTAAATTTGCATTGATTCACATATTCTTTTAACATTTATCATCCGACTTTGAAGTCTTTCCATACTGTTCAGATAAGGGGAAACAACTGCAGTGTTTTTCAGAATTGGAAATTCTAAGTTTTCTTTTTTTTGGCAAATTAAAGGTGAAACGGAGAATGTAATGCTGCCATCGCTGTTCAGAATCTGTAAAATTGATAAGGGACGTATGAGAAGGAAAGGAAAAATGACAAATTTTCGGTTTCATAATTGTCTTCAGAAAGTTACAAATATTGCAAATAATTTTTGTTTTATTTATTTCCTAAAAGTATCCATTAAATGAATTTCAAATGTTTTACTGTTTGAAAGGAATAATTAATAAAAACAGATTTTTTCGATGAAATGATTCTTAAATTAGCTCTTCCAGGCTTTTTTGTCTTAATTAGGGTAATGTTGCTCTGAAATTTACGAAAACTTATTGACGAGATACTCCTTCTCCCGTATCATGGCCCCTTGAAGACGTAATACGTCTGCTTCCCTAATATCCTCCTAAAGGATCAGAGGACGTGAGCAATTTTACTTTGCGGTGTTTTGTGAAAATGAGCAATGAGATAAATACTAGCATCTGTTCCAGGAAAGTTTGTGTCCACTGCAAGTGCGATCGTACTGACCACGAAGCGGATTCACGTGATCGCAACGTCATTACCTCTAAACGTGTCGGATTCTCGTTATCACGTATGATATTTTTTTCTTCCAATCTAGACAGAAATAACATCGCTTACCATACTGAATTTCAATATATTACCTGGGTGTGTGTGTGTGTATGTATATGTGTGCGTCTGTGTGCATGTGTGTGTATGTATGTGTATGTGAGTGTATGTGTGTGTATCTGTGTGTATATGTGTGTACGCGCATGCAGTGTGCTTATGAATATGCGTGTGTGTACGTGGCGTGTTGTGTGTGTGTGTGTGTGTGTATACTTTTTCGCATGTAATTTTATCATTTAATATCTTCCTTTGTCATTATTAAGTGCAAAACAAATTGTCCGAAGACAACAAAGGTAAAAAGAACTCAAGTTTTTTAACTTTTCTAAATTCTAATTATGATTTAAGAAGGGTTACGATTTGCTCTCAGGTTGAAATAATCATGAAATATCACATTGAAAAGCTTTAGTGACTTAGTGGGAATTTATGGTTTAGTTAACTTATTTCAAAAGGCTATTTACCATTAAGCTATCTTAATTTAATTTAAAATATATCGATTTTATGCCACCATTATGCGCTAATGATCGAGAAGTAAATTAAAACTATTTAATTCACTTTTCATGAGCATTGTTTTGACTTGATCTTAACCTTAACCCGTCTATTATCACCAATTCATTTTATAACTGTGATTATATCGAACTGTTCCAAAGTACATATGCTTTCATTTCCTTCAAGCGCTCTATCCAATGGCAATTTGGTGTCATTTTTTGTTTAGTAATATTCTTCTGTCATTATTGATATTATAATTTCAGCAAAAATGTCATCAATTGCAGTAGCGCAAGCTGCTGGCCATACTGGTGCGCCTGGTTCCATAAGTCATGGTTATTCGTGGGTACCACCAGGACTCACTCGTCTTAAGGTTCACATTGAAATTTTCATTCGTCCCCCAAAATCTAATTTCATTCCTGAAAATATTAAAAGTTACGAGTTGGTGAACAGTGAGAGGAAAGGTAACGGTGCGGTACGCTTCATGATCTTTTTATTATTTGAGGTGGAAGAATATATGGCTCAGCTACCAAATCATGTGGTTCCGCGAGTGAATAGTAATGGTGAGAAGTTTCGTGAAAAGCAACTCATGTTACAGGTTAATTATCTATTTCCATTCAATTCTGTTGTCTTATCATGCATACGTAATTACAGATATTTGAAATATATGTCTCATTCATTGTTTCAGTTACCGCGACAAGATCTATCGGCGGCATATTGCAAGCATCTTTCGAACAATATTGAAAGGAAGCTTTATGAAGAATTTATCAATGCAAGAAATGAAATCGCCTTGGATATTGGCTTCGTTTGTCCAGTCATTCCAAAACAAATGGTCATTTCCTTACTAATTGTGTGATTGGTCATTAATATCCAAGGATGCAAAAAGTATTTTGCGCTCTAAATAAGGCCGATAGTTGCGTATTGTTTCCATATTTCATTTGATGACTTGTTTACTGAGTAATATATGAAACTGAAATCAGAAGCCCTGGTTTCTCATTCCTCACCTTCATATTCCTTAAAGAGACGGATAGAAGTAGTAATTGGTACTTGCTTCTAATGAGCTCAAATTTTCAAATATTTACAATTAATAGTTAAAACTTGAGGAGGTATCATGCGATCGTCATTTCAATAAAGAGTGATGAATGGAGAGATGTCCTAGAGAACTTTCAAAACTTTGTTTTACTACAGATCGGTCAAATATGCGTCCTATCCCCACTTCAGAAAATAAACTAGTTTTCACGAATCCTATAATCGATTCTCGTTATCATCAGTTCTCGTTCAAATTTTAGTCTCAAATTTTAATCTCTTCCTTACTTTGCTTGAATTCAAGATGGAGTAAGTTGCAAAGATTCTGAAATTCATTAACTAAGGCCCAGGTCATGGGTTCAAAATATTCACTTTTCATTTTTTTCTTATAAGGTTGACAAGAAATGTTTAAATTTAAAATAATATGGAATGCAGGAATGTAAGAAATGCCGTGGAGTGTTGGAAAGGAACGAAATGGCTGTAATAGCTCCAAAACTAGGTGAGAGCACCGGTTGGCATCCGGCTTGCTTCACGTGTGCTACGTGTGAGCAGGTATTGAAATCTTTCATACTATAGTTCGAATTTTTAAATCAGTTAGTGGCTGTATTTTTTGACCTTTCACAGGTCCACAGTTACATTCATCTTTACTATCTTTTATGCTGAGGAATGCAAAGGATAACTATCTTGTGAATATTTGTCAGAATGCAACTTAGATCTAAAATTGGCGCACTTTGAGAAAGGGAAAGGAAGACGAAAATAAAAAAGATTGATAGATAAGTTTTATTCTTAAAATTTTATAATATATACATTACTTGAAAAAAAATCATGCATCTGATCAAAATTTTTTCCTTTTATTATTTGCATAATTTCAGCTTCTGATCGATTTGACGTACTGCGTAAAAGACGGTATTATCTATTGCGAAAGACATTACGCTGAGCTTCATAAACCACGTTGTAACGCCTGTGATGAGGTATCTTTTCCTCATTCATCAATTTTAGGCCTTCAAAATTAATCAATAGCAGTTTCATCAATTGGATTCTTGTGAGTGAAGTTGATGAGTTACGTTTACAGACGCTTCTTCTCGGTTTACAACTGCTCGAAGGCAAAAGTTTCAGAATTTCAAAATGTAGGAGGAAAGATGAAAACGTGCAAGATTTATTTTAGATTACTGAATATTATAAATTATAAAATCTATCAAAAATTAATAATCATCAATTGATAATCATCATAGTTTGTTGATAATGAATAAGCTTTTTTGTTGTGTGATAGAAATTTGAAGGTTTTAAATGCTTAAATCTTCCATCTTTTAAGCAATTCTTTGCCTTCCGTATTTCTGCTTTTAATAATCTTCATAGTTCAGAAAATCGAATTTTCTGGTCCTTCTAGTCTTTTACATACAGATTATAAGAGAAAGCGATATAACATTAAAATAAATGTTGAAATAGTGTGATAATAATGGTATATGAGAAAGTACCACACGCTAATATCTTAGAAGGCAATATTGTTTCAACTTTATCTCTTTCTTCCAACCGTTCATTTTCCACTCTCTTTATATATATCTCATAGCGGATTTTAATCGCTAATTAATTAACTCTAAGATATGAAGTTTCTTATATAATTTTTTCTTCTGTGATTAGATTTTTGAACTGATTTTACTAGAATTTTTGTTTAACTTTCGAAATTTCATTTAGCAACAGCTTTGCTTTGAATTGCACTTATTTCTTTATTTCTCATTCATTTCTTATTTGTGGTGATTTGGTGATAAGGATTGATTAAAAATTAACATATAAGAAGGATTACTTTAATTTTTTGCGGTAATTTAAAAGGTGTCCACAAGCAACAGATAGTAAAATTTAATATTTACAAATAAAGTTACTTTATTTGTGAATTTAAGTAATCATTAATTTTGGGCAGGAAAAGAGCAATGGAATGAGGATTGCTTGGCTAAATGATGTAATTGACTTTAGGGTAGGCTTGATTTTTATGCTGTTATAAATTCTGTATGGATAAACAACACATGGATATAGTTGTACATTTCCTTGAAACTATTGTCGAGAGTGAAATCATACTCTGTTTTCTTCTCACATCACTTCATATTTCTTCTGTTTAAGGCTCGCCATGATGAATTACTTGTGCTATAATTGTCTGATATTCTGGGCCATCATGCACTTTGATTTATCTTCTATAGCAGTAACCGAGAAATTGAATTGGGCTGACGCTATTGCTTGACAGATTTAGCCAGACGTCATCCTTGTTTTCTACTTCTTTCTCGCTTTCTGCTTCTTTCTGTCATTAACCATATCTATATTATCTCCAGTTATCCTACAATCTTTCATTGCAATATCTTTTATCTTCAATGTTCCACAACAAAAATCACAAACTAGGCCAAGCCTGATTGCTTCATCCAATTCCAACAAGCAGCAATCATATGGGACATCAACATTAACATTCCCCAAGAGTATTTGCAGCATTCATAAAATCTTATGAAGCGCAAAATGCATTGATGACATCAATGTTGTTCTATTTAAGACCTCTTTTGATCAGTTCTCGAATTATACGCCTTATAACAAAAAGAAGAAATCTTTCAGTTCATTTTCCACAATTTTTTTGGCCTTTTGTTTTTTCTATTTTATAAAGATAGAAAGTGATTGACAAATCACTAGAAGAATTCTGGGAATTATTATTCCCTGGTTGTTTCCCGGGAAGATTAAGTTGCACTAGAATTGGATGGGAATATGTTGCAGATTTCTGCAACAGAATAAGCCCAGCGTCCTGATACTTTGTCCTTTGCATCATCAATTATGAAAGTACGTAGTACACAATGATGTTCTGACAATGGTCCCTAATGTCCATTTGGGATATTAACTGAGTTTCTATTCATTTTCATTTCTATTCATCAGTTAAAATTACTACTATTGTACTTATTACTTACTACTGTACTACTGTATTACTTATTTGTCTAATATTAATAGAAAAGACAACTCATCATGAAGCACAGAATCTCCCTACAGCTCAAGAAATCTTGCAAGAAAGTAATCATATGCTAGGTTTGTCCTGGCCTTATAATCAGTTGAGCCTAGCGTCCTCATCTGCATTCTATTACTTGAGTTAGTTTTTGATCTGTACTTTCAGTTTATTGTGATCAACAGAAAATTATTAGAATAAATGGTGAGGTGTTGACATGTTAGCTATGGGTTAAAAATGAAAAGTCACTTTCTGTGGAAATTTTACGGTAAACATTGCTTTTATTTACATTTCGAGGTAATAGCATTTCCCGTCCCGATATTGGGCTAATTTACCTGTGGTCAGCTTGGCGATTTTACATATTTAGAGGTTACAATAATGGGCTATTTCATTGAATACTAAAGTAAAGCAATAACTGTGAATACTCCAAGTGATTCACGGAAGAAACTTACTAAAAGTGAAACGGACACGCTATTCTGAAGCATTGTGTGTTGAACGACGGCACTATCGTGTTGATTGACCGGTATCCTCAGTTCAATTCACAAGTCACTAATTTGTAAGATAATTTCTTCCTCTATCCGGGGTGATCTTTTCATTACTCTTTTGTCATTTGAAATATCTCAAGTCATTTTGGCCTTTATTTTTCTGGAATGAGCCACCAATAGAAGGCAGATGATTCTGTTCAAAGTATATATTTTGCTCCCAGCGTATAAGTTATAATTAAAAGTCTAGGTTGTGTTGTTATTGAGATAAAGAGATAGAAGAAATTTAATGAGATTGAGATTCTTTGCGTAGTTCAAACTTGTTTAAATATTTAATTTTGTAAGTCTTCCAGGTGATATCAAACTAATCAATGATCAATGATACTAAGCTAGAAATGCATTCGGGGATTTTTTACTGCATTCGAAAATGATTGATTACCAATAGCTAATGATTAGCTCTAAAAAACTTGAAGGATTTAAGATACAAAGAGAATGAAACATTCGAATATTAGAAATCAGCAAAATATATTAATAATTTGAAATTTAATAGCAGAAATAATGAAAATTGTCGAAATTATGTAAATTAACTAAAAGGAAATCATATCCTTCTTTCTGCAAATTTTTTTCAGAGAGTTGCAAAAAACGAAAAAATTATAGAAATGAAATGGGAATTCAATCTTCGTACTTGAACTGATAAATAAAGTGAAAAAAAAAAAAACAATTCTGGCTGATCAAAGACCATGTAGAAATGTAATTAAATCAAATGATATTGAATCTTTCTCACTAGTTGATCAGACTTTCTAGAAAGAAACAGTGGTTGATTGAAAAGATAAGACGTGCGGATGCGTGTATGGACGCGTGCGTGCATGCATATATACATATGCGTGTGCGTGTGCGTATTCTAGAAGTGCAGTGACGAATGGGAAGTGGACTGAAAGTATGTTTGAAGATTGCCCACACAAAAATAAAAAGCCAAGAAGCAGGAAGAGAGGAGTGCAGGAAACAGGAAGTATGCGATAGATATCCTACCCATCCAACCATCTATCCATCTATTCTTCCTTTTCAATAGTACTGTTTTCGATGTGGGGATGTGTCGATGTAATCAATTCATCTCTTTTCTTCTTATCTATCTATCTGTCAGACTAGGCTAACTGATTAGCTTAAAACGAAGCATTTGCTCTTTTACAATTATGACCCTATCCTATCCATCCGGTACATTCTCTTTCCTGTTTACCGGAAAATTCTTCTGAAATAAGAAAAGAGGAAATGAATGAATTCGAATTGAAGTTTCTTGCCATAGCAATACAATTTCTTATCAGATATAAACCCCATCCTAATTTATCACTCTCTTCTCCTTCTTTAGTATTTACTCTTTGGAAATGTCTAGTTGATTTTTGATAAAATATCATTTTGGAATACTCGATTCGATTGATTATTGAATGCCACATTCCGCCGATACTTTTTGCTTCTTTTGCTTTTTCCACTCACAATTTATCCAGTCTTTTTTTTAAAAGCTAAAGCTAATAGAATGAGGGATGGAAGGATGAATGGATGGATGGAACGTATGGAATAGACTGATGGTTGGTTAACTAACTTTCAGCATTACACATCTTCTAATGTGATTAAGGTGGAAGTTGTCTCGAGTAGAGTGGAACGGCGCATTATGAACCTTTCCACCGAACACATAATGAATGCACGCATTGTTGGCGGTGGTGGTAGTGGTGGTGAATGATGCTGTTTTAGTGCTTTTTTAGATTAAAAGATTGTTGAATAGATGGATAGATCTTTCCCTTTTATGGTACCTAACCGAGTAGTTAAATGTTATTGCATGAAAGAAGTTTAGATACTTTTTAATTATATGTGATTAAATAATTGATTGACTACTTAGTGATCCCTTTTGACCCTTTTTCTATTAATTTCTTTCCATTCGTTCTATCTATGAAAATGAGACAAAGTTTAAAAACAAATGCTTAATCTATTACGCATTTTACTTTTTTGAAATTTTGCAAATTAAGACAATTTTAAAATTTCTGATTTTTTTCTCTTCCAAATTCAATTGAAAAAATTTTGGGGAAAAAATTAGACTAGAAAGGTCACATTGAGCAAATACATTTTCTATTGCCTGCGAGACTTCTGCACAACCCTTGGGACATTGCGCAAATTATGGCTTATTATGAGTCAATGGTTTGCACTTGGCCTCATGGCTAATGAATGGTAAAGTTTGTCTTCTTATCTTTCTTTCGTCATCTAACATTCTCTATGGTGGATAGCCAGAATTTTTATTATTGTTTCAAGCCTAGGATGTCAAAGTACACCAAATCTCATCAAATGCCAATTAATGTAGCCAGTTTGGAATCTGATAAGTGAATTTATGTACAGTTCATCCCTATGCAATTCAGTTAAGTGAAATTTTCATGACCTCGAAATGTCGAAATTATTTTCAAAAAAAAAGTAAATTGGCAAGGTTTGTAAATCAGTTAATTATTAATTATTAAGTGGAACCAATCTCCCATTGTTTTTCCCTCTCAAACAAGGATCGGTAACAAAAGAAGCTGTTGGAATTTTCGAATTTTCCTGCAAAGTAGGAGTGAAGGTGGGAAAAAGCGAAGAAAGTTTGTCCCTGCAACATGTATGTCTTACTCTGCTTCAGTAATTTCGCGTCTTTATTTTTTTTGTAGATGTCTCTTTTTTGTTGGATATCTTCGTCTCTTACTTTGTATGGTTTTTTTTTTCTTGATGACAGAAAAGTAGCAGTGTCACAGGATTTAATCCATTTTAAGGTTCTCTTTAGCTAGGTTCTGATTAGTTATCCATCAGTTAGATCAGATATGATTTTTATTTTCTTGGCGCTTCCTTTTTGAATTTTTTATTTTTTTTCTGCTCATTTTTCTTCATTCATCATTTCAGACAATCTTTGTTGTTCCAGCCGATATTCATTGCGACACACGAAGTTTTTTTAACCAGGCGGGTATACTATTCCGTCATTACGGATCATTTATCCAGAAGGCTTTACATAAAGCACTTGAATTTCTATAATTAGTTATTGTTTCTGTAACAATCAGCGAAAGATGTCTAAACAATCCAAATTGATCATTGCAAACATTCCGGCCAAAGTTACAATTAGAAATCAGTTTCATCAGCAAATAAATGGTCAGAAGTAAAGCACCATTTTTCCTTTCATTTCCCGCGGCAAAATGCCTATTTGTTATTGATGCGTCTTTCCAAGTGATCGAGTGATGGCAGTTTGGTTGGTATTCAAATACGAATAGAGTTTCAGGAGAAATTAAGTCATCATCGCAATTCATTTCCAACACATTCTATTTCTCATTCCAGTAACTATGAGAGGTTAAATTGTAGGTTCATGGGACTGATATGATATGCTATCAAATGACGAACAATAGAGGATATAGCTCATTCTATTTGACTCTTCTCATGGAGGTTTGAGGTAGCAAAATTGCAGTGTGAAATACAGGATAAGTGTTAATGTAATTCATGGAAGTGATATCACTGGCTGATGAATACATTCGTTATCACTGGAATGTTCGTCTCGTAAATCGAATTTCTCTTTTTTCTTTGTGGATCACGTGTCAATAATTTCCCTGAAGTTGCAATGCTGCTTGTTATTGTTTGTTTTTAATATCACAATGGTGGGACCAACCGCTCACCTTGCAAACCATATGCTTCGAATTTCGCTCCTGACACTTGGTTATTCTTTTATTTCATGATAATTCATGATCATCTACTAAAGTGAACAGAGAGATGGAAGGGAGACAAAACGGGATAAAGAAACAAGAAAGATGGTTGATGATCTTTGACCTGCCAAATTTCTTGGATTTTTCTATCTGGCTCGAAATTTAAACTCTGACTTAAGAGTCAATCCACCTATCCACAGTCTCTTATCATACCACCACTCTCATTTTTGGTCTTCCTGGAAAAAGACGATTATTTTTTGGGGAAGATATTTTTTGCTGAATTTGATCAAGTAAGCGAGCGAAGAAATGGAGAGCATTTAGAGCGAGCCGCTGTTTTGAACTGTTCATTCGTTTTTCTCTCATTTCATCTTTTTTCGATTTTCATGTTTCACATCTATGAAGCAAACGCCACTTGCACAATCTTAACCATTTTGCATATTAACTTGTAAGTATCGAATTCTTCCGATTTTGGTTAAGTATTTCTGTTCTACCATTCAGTTTTTTCTCAATTCAATTGACGATGACATTTGCATTAATCTCTTATTGTGCCGCTCGTTTTTTGTCTCAGCAATCTATGCTACCATTCCTTTAATGGGCTTGAGTTTCAGTTTCACTTCTTCCTTCTTCTTCAGGGCTCTCTTCCTGTGAATTTCTTTAAGTAATTTAGCGCTCGACCTGGATTAGCAAGTATCTCTTTTGACAAGTTTAATAAACTAATCGTTTCAATGTATGGCCTAATATTCACTTTAATGTGTGTCATAGGAAACATAACAGAGCCAACCTCAATGAGGTCATTGAGGTCGTCTGGGTTTTTAATTATTTTCAAAAACTTATGAGAAGATTAGCGCTGAAAAAGTACAGCTGGATAGCCTGCAATGAACTCGGTTTCCCCCAAAAAAATGATCGTAAAATCAACTCTTTGCAATGATGAACATGTTTGATGATTCATCCCATCAGAAGCCTTGTTCAGTTGAGGTTGACAGGAGCAATTTGGCGTTTTAAATTTAGATTAGGTGTCTTCTTCTATACTCACTTGGTATTTAATAAGACGACCCGGTGTCTGAATGGTAATTAATAAGTAAATGATCAAATCTAGCAGTTCACTTTTGTTTATCTTACTTGACTGTGATATTTTAGTCATGACACTTTAATTTGTTCTAATATCTTACTTAGGATACTTTGATTTATTTTGATATTTTACTTAGGGCACTTACGATCTTCTTTCTCTTGAGATTACATAGGATGTTTTTTTTTGAAAAAATTGAACATAAGAAGTATTGCTGTTAGTGACTTGCTAGTTTCATCAAATATCAAATGGATTGAAGGAATTGCTTTTTGATGTTGCCTAAACCCCCTACTGCTGTTGAAATATGAAACTGTAGATTCGAGACTTTGAACAGCTGCTTTCTTCTTGTTTTATTTTATGGTCCCAAAGAAGCATTCTCAAAGGAAACATTTCAAATCTTTTCTTGATTCCAATCTTTTCCGCTTCAACTATAAAACTGCTTAGGTTTTACTTATGAATTACTTGCCTTTATTCCTTTTATTGATCATTTGATTCGATTATATCAATTGGAATTGATTTACATTCCAGCCAGAAGTCTTTTTTTTTCTTAAATTGAATATATTTGCTTGTCATTTTGTAGTGTGAACAACTAAAAGCCTCATTTTTCCCTTAGGTATATGTAATATCTGACGATCTAAGCCAATTTGCGGATCTTTTTAAGTTTCAAACTCTGAAGAGTCCCAACATTTCGGATGTTATCAAAACCACATGACACTCATCCGAATATCGGTACTCGATCTCGATATTCTGATCACTCAGTTACTTGTACATTGGTAAATAGCTTATTGCGAAAAAATTTATGTTGCAGTTAATATTTGCTGGTGAATATACTAAGGCCATGAATAAGGACTGGCACAGTGATCATTTTTGCTGCTGGCAATGTGACAACACTCTCACCGGTCAACGGTACATTCTTCGAGACGAGCATCCGTACTGCATCAAGTGCTATGAAGACATCTTCGCCAATGCTTGTGACGAATGCGCCAAACCAATTGGTATCGATTCGAAGGTGATTTGATATTTTATACTGATGATTTGTTGAATTGTACAGAGAGAGAGAGAGAGAGAGAGAGAGAGAGAGAGAGGAAGAAGAGAGAGAGAGAGAAGAAGAGAGAGAGAGTATT